TCGGCCCTGTTTAGCCGATCCGCCCTTGCTGGGGGACCTGAAAATTTTTTTTCACCCGGGCCCGAACCTGTTCTCGGCGGCCCTGAATGGGGGAAGCGGAAATGATCCCCCAAGAAACACCCCCCTGGCTAGCATGTGACTGCTCTCTGGACTCTTGACCAGCCCCTGCCCCCCTGTTGTAGGGGGTGGATTGAGGGTGTGGCTATTCTCCAGGCTCTAGGAAGCCAGGTGTAAATTACAGCAGGCTCAAGGCTGCTCTACCTTACACTAGGAAGTGGGGGGGGGGTAAGAATATGGAAAGTGCAGAGGGGACTTAAAGCCTCATCTGTCTCCGCCCCATTCCTGCCCCACAGCTGAGAACCAGACCATGTATGTACAGTGGAGATCATGGGAGAGACTCCCCTCATCCAAGATGAGGCTCTATCCCAGCATGTCAGGGATCAGCTGCCTCAACCAGATAAAGGAGGGAGGGTACAGTTCCCCCCATGTTAATTCATCCCAGCTCCCATTACCAGGGGGTGATCCGCTTGGATGACTGGAGATCTGGCCGGACTGTCCTAACCCTGCTGCTAGGGGCTTCCCTGAATCTGCCCTGCAGGTGTCTTCCCCTACAGCAGTGAGATCTGGCTTAAGCCGCAGCCTGCGTGGACCATTCAGTCCCGTGACCTGCCACCAAGGTAACCCCATTGTGATGCGCTCGCCTGTCATGGCTAGGAAGCAGGCTGAGCCCCCACCCAGCTCCCTATACACACGGGCCGCAGCCCGGCCTCAACACCCTGTCTCTGTCTCTGTAGATGCATCTGCAGTGAGCTGTGGCTCTGCGCAGTCTGCCTTCGAGACCCTAAGGCCTGCAGACAACGAGATGAAAAGAAGCCCGAAAACAGAGGCCCGCGGCTCCTTGAAAACATTCCCTGCCATTGTGAGCATTGTAGACGCAAACGGGGCCTAGGCAAGAATGTGCTGCACCCGCCATGCTCTCACTGTGTGTCTGGGCAGAGCCCGGCACCCCGGGTCCAGCTCTGTGCCTGGGGATCCTGGATGCTACCACAGTAGGAATAAGCAGTACTACTAATCATTCATAATTACTTGGGCCCTAGCTATCTATTGAGCTTTGGGTTTTATCCTGCTGCCCAGCACTGTAGAATCTGGGTGCCTGCCCTGTAAAATCAATGGGTCTTTCTGTACTTCCCCCTGTGCCTTCTCCTCGCCTCCCCACACCTCGGGTCAGGGTCTGTTGTGCTGTACAGAACCCTGATCTCTGCTGAGGTCTGCACACTGCCTGGCACACAATGGGGGGCCTTGATCTCAGTGGCGGGTCTGTGCAGTGCCCGGCTCCTGATCTCACTCAGGACTGAGATTAGGATTAGGCTCTGCACAGGCTCCCAACTGAGAGACAGCCTCTGCCCCCAGGAGTTCACAATCAAAACAGACAAAGGAGGGCCACAAAGTCAGAGACCTGTTCATGGCAAAGCTGGGGCTAGGAACCAAGTGTCTTGCGTCTTAGCCAGTTCGCTCCCACTAGACCACCCAGCCTCCCCTGGAAAGCGACCAGCGACTCCCTGAGTCTGGATGGCAGCCAAACCCAGAACAGGAAAGATGCGCAGTGGAAAGGTCTCGAGAAAGGTTAGATCAGTTGCTGACTTGGCCAACCCCCACCCTGCAGTTCAAGCTGGGTCTGGAATGGCCTTGCCATGTGTCATGCAGCCCGGGGCCCGCTGGCTCTCATTTTGCTGCACTTGTGCATTTTTCTCCCTTTTTCCTCTGCTTTCTGGCATTTCTCCAACCTCAGCACTTTAGCCTATTGTGTCTCTCTCCCACTGCTAGGAGGCCCTGGTTGGGGAGCCGGGCTCCAGCGGCTGGAAACGGCGGCCTCTCCAGCCTGGAAGCTTTGATCCAACATGGTGGAAAAGGAGATAAGGCACAATATCCCCCCCAACGAGGCTGATGTAATAATAATATAAGACCACCTAGCTCTCACACAGTGCATTTCATCCATAGCTCTCAAAGTGCTTTATAAAGGAGGTCAATGTCATCAGCCCCATTATACAGATGGGGAAACTGAGGCATCGAGCAGGGAAGTGACTCGCCCAAGGTCACCCCACAGGCCAGCAGCCAAACTGGGAATAGAATTTAGGTCTCCTGATCCCAATCCACTGCTCTGAAGAGAACTTAGGGTGGTGGATGGGAATTGGGTGGTATCCCTTTATAGCGTAAAGTAGCCTTCTTATGGGGTTCCCTGTGGCCTAACTTCTCCCTGCCCCAGTGTGCCCACATGGTGGCGTTGCTTTTTGCACTGACTGGCACGTTTTCAGACTCTGCCTGAATTTTGTCACCATTTCAACAGTCTGGCTTCACACCCACCATCCTTTGCATTGTGCGACTGTGAACCCCTGTGTGAATCATGCAGGACGTCCCTCCATATTGTGCACCTGTGCCGGGCCTGACCCTAACATCCCTCCCCTTTTTCCTCCCCTGCAGGCGGAGCTGGAACTGGGGGACTTGATTGAGATCTTCCGCTTCGGATACCAGCACTGGGTCATCTATGTGGGAGACGGCTACGTTGTTCACCTGGCCCCCCCCCAGTAAGGCAGCAGACTGGCCTGATTTCACCATTGCCCAGCCCCCTTACGCCACTGTTCACACCAGTGCAAAGTGCTACCACTGTGCTCGATGGAGCAGGACGACTTGAGAAAGGAATAGAATTGGGGGGAAAGGGGCTTAATGGTTAGAGCAGGGGGGCTGGGAGTCAGGATACCTGTTCTTTATCCCCAGTTCTGGGAGGAGAGTGGGGCCTAGGGGGTGGGGGGGGGGGGGGGGGGGTGGGAATTGGCATTCCTGGCTTCCATTCCCAGGTACTCTTCACAGTGTCTCTCTCTCATCCCAAGGTGAGATACCCGGGGCGGGCTTTGCCAGCCTGATGTCCACACTGACCAACAAGGCCCTGGTGAAGAAAGAGCGTCTCCTGGATGTGGTGGGGAGGCACCGCTATCGGGTCAACAACAAGCATGACAGGAAGTTCCCCCCGCTGCCGCCGGGGAAGATCGTGCGGGCCGCCGAGCAGCTGGTGGGCCAGGAGATGCTTTACAAAGTCACCAGTGAGAACTGCGAGCACTTCGTCACTGAGCTGAGATATGGCGTGGCCAGGAGTGACCAGGTGCTGGGGCTGGCTCCCTGTCATCCTGACAGGACTCCTGGGTTCTCCCCCCACCTCTGGGAGGGGAGAGGGGTCTAGTGGCTAGAGCAGGAAGACCCGTGAGTCAGGCCTTTTGGATTCGCTGCTCATCATCCTGAGCATCTCTGGGCCACTCACTTCCCCCTCTCTCTGCCTGTTTCCACATTTTGTAATGACCCTGACTTTGGGGGGTAAGAGGCAAAGGATGCTGGGATGCGGGGCATTTGGGATCGAGGGGCCCAGGGCTGAGATCAGGATCCCACACTGTGTAGAGCAGACACTGGTCCCTCCTTGCTCTGCACTGGGGCAATTTAGCATCCAGTATAACTTGGTGTAATTAGTCCAGACAGCTCTGCAGACCCCTACTGCTCTGCAATCATCATCCCTCACTCTTCTAGGCACTTGTCATTTGCAGAGCTCAATGTGCTTTACAAAGCAGGTCAGTATCATCACCCCCATTTTACAGATGGGGAAAGTGAGGCATAGAATAGGGGGAAGTGACTCACCCAACAGAACTGGGAATAGAACCCTGGGGTCCTGTCTCCCAGTCCTGTGCTCTAGCCACTAGGCCCCACTGCCTCCCATTGCTATCCTTCCTCGGCCTGTCTGCCCCACTTCCTGATTCACTTCCTCTCTTGTCCTACAGGTGCGGGACGTCCTGGTGGGGGTGAGCGTCGCTGGGCTGGGGCTGGCTGCTCTGGGCCTCCTTGGGGTTGCAGTCCAAAGGAGAAGACGCCAGAACCAGTAACGGACTTGAGTGGATCGGAGGGGTTTGGGGTTTTTTTGGTGTTTTTTTTGATCCAAGCAGAAGAGACTTTGCAGCCGTTTTGGGGGTGTGGTGGGAACTTCGTATGTGTTGCTCTGTCCCCTCTTTTGGGTGAACACCTTCCCCACCCCCCCCCCGCCGGCACCAGCACAAGAATAAAACCAGGAGATTGGTACAGAGTCACCTTGGTCGTGGCCTGTGTGGTGATGGGGGGTGCGGTGGATTCAACCAAGGGGGCAGCTGGCCTATGCTGGGGTCTTTCTGCCCGGGGAGGGGGGGGGGTGCTATGTGTGGAGCTGGATGGGTTTGCTGAGGAGTACAGGGGGCTCTAAGGGTGGGGGGAGCTGTCCATTTGGGTCACAGGGGGAGCTGCTGGGACAGAATGTCTTGGAGATCTTGGTTGCTTCTTTGTGAGCCTACGTGATGTTCCGAGCCCCGGGGTGGAGGGAGGGAATCCCAGGTCCAGGGGTAGGGGCCGAGCTGGTGGGAGGAAGGATGTGAGGGAATCCCATGTCCAGGTGCAGGGGACCCCAGGTCTGAGTGTAGGAGCCGAGCCGTGAGGGGTAACGGGGTGGGGGATCTGACCTTTGGACTGTCTGACCCTAAATAACATAGGTGCTTTTGAGAATTTGACCCTAAGTGAATTAGGAGCCTAAGTCCTTTTGAAAGTCAATGGGACTTAGGTGCTTTTGAAAAGGTCACCCCTTGTCATCCCAGGTTAGCCCTCCTGGTGTCCCCACAGCCATGAGATGCCCCAGGGCAGCTGGAGTCCTGGAATTAACACTGGCTGCAGCCTCAATGGTTCAGACTGCACCTGCTGTCTAGAAGCCCCCCTAAGGATTCTGGCCCCATTGCTCTGGGTGCTGCCCAGCCCCCAAATGAGATCAGGGCCCCGTTATTCCAGTGTCACAGCTCTAGTTGAGCGCCCCCTCTTAGCCACACACCAGATTGCTGTGGATCCCCAAGTGTTTTAATCCTCTGGAGTCTGGACAGAGTCAACATTGCCCCAGTCTTGGGGTCCCAGCGCACACTCATCTGAGGCAGACCCTCTAATATCTCCTGCTGAGGGCTGCAGCTCCTGGAATCAGCTGACTCAGACTCCCCCGTAGCGTAAACACACCATGTCCCACCCCCAGAAGGCATGAGCATTGTGGGTTACAGTTCTACTCTTGCAGGGTATGTGGTGAGTGTAGCATAACACACACAGACACTATGCCTAGGAATCTACAGCACTATGTGCCTCACTTAGCTGTATGAGAAATATACAGGAAACAACAAACACCCTAACTGCAATGCCCCCTCACTAGCTCACCCTTCCCTTGGGGCACCCTCTGAAGTCAGGTAGGCGGAGTCCCCACTTCCTCCACCTCAGCAGCCTCCTGCCACAGCTTCTCTGTGCTTGAGCTGGCAAAAAAGGCCAACGCCCACTTCTAGATAAGCTTCTTTATAACCTCCGAGTCCCTCCGTCAGGTGATACCCTTGTCAGCCTGTCCATGTCATTCCAGCCCACAGCCAGGTGACGTTGCCAGGCAACCTCGCCCTGATAAACCAGTTCAGCTGAGTCAGAGCTAGCCTGATGTTTAGAGCGGTTCTGTTTCAAAGGTTGCGCACTTAGCCCGTGGTGCTCCCTTACCAGCCCTTTGCCACCAGCCATGGGGGTTTCAGCCCAATGGGAGGTCACAGGACAACAGAGACGGTAAAGAACCCTGACACAGACACAGGCAGAGAATGCCCCCTGTCAAACAAGTCTTAAGCCATACATACAGATTCACAGCCGGCCCCTATCCTGAAGAGTTTACAATCTAAATAGACAAAATGAACACAGCATGCCTGGCACAATATGGCCCTGATCCCAGTCAGGGCCTGTGCAGCATTCAACACTTTGAAGGCCCTTACCATGGTCAGGTCCTCTGGTTGTTACCATAATATAAACCATAGAAACGTTTCTCTCCAGTGTAAGTGACTTTCTCACTAGCCTCGGCATCTGGATTCTGTATTTCTGATGTAACTAATTTTCCCTAATAACACCTGGATGGTAGGTATGCAATTTGTGTTGGATGTCGGTACCTTGGGTACATAACTGGGGGGCAGTGAGTAGGAGCGAGGTGATGGTTTTATCTCTGAATACGGCCTTGGAGAGACCCACCCTGGAAAGCTGCGTTCAGTTCTGGGTGCGTATTTTAAAAAGGACATTGAAAAATTGGAGCGAGTGCAGAAAATAGCCAGAGAAATTATTTGAGGGCTGGAGAAAATACCTAGCAGTGAGAGACTTAGCAGCTCAATCTGTTCACCGTCTCTAAAGGCGGATCAAGTGATGACTTGATCATGGGGTGTGTGTCTCATTGTGGGGCGCAATTCAGACCAGCAAGAGGCTGTGTCACTGCTTGTAATATACCCCTGGGGGCCCCAGAAAGCTTCTGCTATTTGTGGCTGCCTGCGTAGGACACACACACACACAGTCTGCAGCCAGCGCTCCCTGTTCTGTAAGCCGTGCAGCTCACATTCAACCACTTTGACTCAACAGCCTACCAGCAGTTATCACAGACACGTGCTTGTCTTACCAGCCTTGGTTGTTGTTAGCAGGTGACCCCAACAAATACCCCAGTCACAAACCTTCCCAAACCCATTTGCTCTGAAATGTCCCACCCTCTCCTGCAACATCCAGAGGAATAATAAGATTCATTTGCTTCTTTAAAGAGCCCAAAGCCAACAACTTGCCACATCAACAGGAGGTGACAATCACTTAATTCAAACCCAGCACGGTTGGTTTAGATTAACGGTACAAGTTTATTAACAGAAGAAGATAGGACTTCCCGTGAATTCAAACTTAAGAGATAAAGTTAGAAATGGCTAAAAGCCAATAAAAGTGAAAACGCATCTAAAAGTCAAAAACTTGATCTAGCATTGTTCAGGATGGCTTTTCTCACCCCCACTCTTCCAGCAGTGTGGGGGCTGACACCCCCACGGGGGAAGTTCTTCTCCAGAAGCCCCAAAGTGCTGATTCCTTTGTCTTCTTAGGTAAAAGAGAAAACTTGGGCACTACTAATAGGAACCCCAACCCTAGTACCCTAGCCATAGCAACCCTAACACTAGGGCGGGGAGCCCTACCCATAGGAGCTCTAGCCCTAGCTCCAAGTACCCTCAGGGTTCCTATGCATAGGGTATTTGGAGCTAGGGCAGGGGTGGGCAAACTACAGCCCGGGGGCTGAATCTGGCCCTTCAGATGTTTTAATCTGGCCCTCAAGCTCCCACTGGGGAGCAGAGTCCAGGGCTTGCCCCACTCCTGCACTCCAGCCAGGGAGCGGGGCCGGGGGCTTGTCTCTCTCCACACATGCCGTGGCTCTGCATGTCTCCTGGAAACAGTGGCATGTCTCCCCTCCAGCTCCTATGCGTAGGGGGAGCCAGGGCGTTCCACATGCTGCCCCTGCACCAAGCCCCGCCCCCGCAGCTCCCTAGGTCATGTAACCCCTCTGGAGACATGCCTAAGGCTGATGGCACAGATATAACATGGGTAGGATCCATCCACACTACACATTTTAACTAGGCCCTTGATGAGGTAGTTCCTGTAGATGAACTGCGGCCAATGGGAGCTGCAGGGGCAGCGCCTGCGGACCGGTCAGCACGCAGAGGCACCTGGCCGCGCCTCCTCATAGGAGCTGGAGAGGGAACATGCCGCTGCTTCCGGGAGCTGCTTGAGGTAAGAGCCTAACCCCCAAACGTTAGGGTTCCTATGGGTGGGGTACTTGCAGCTAGAGTTAGCGTACCTATGGGTAGGGCTCCCAGCCTAGGGTTTGTGTTCCTATGGGTGGGATACTTGGAACGAGGGTTAGGTGTTTTCTGTCCCTTTCTTTTACAGTCTAGTGAACCTTTGAGAATGATTCTTTTAAAGTTTACACCTCAAAATAAAATGTATTGAGGCTGTGAGGAAGGCAGCATGGAGTCTGCTGGTGGTGAAGGCACCCTGCTTTTTCTTTCCCCCTGGTGCGGCTAAAATGCAGATTGTTCTCTATCTTGCGAGCTCCCCTTTGTTAGTTTGATGGCTGTTTACGGCTTATGTTTAAAGTATTAGGTTAAACCCACATTCCTTTAGTTATCAATTCCCCCTGACATGCCTGCTGTGAACACATGCAAGTCATAGTTCCAGCAATATTAGGGTTACCATATTTCCACAATCAAAAAAGAGGACACTGGGGGGGGAGCCTGCCCTGGCCCCACGCCTGCCCCGCCCCCATCCTCTCCCTCCCACTTCCCACCCTCTGACTGCCCCCCTCAGAACTCCCAACCCCTCCCCGCTTCTTGTCCCCTGACTGCCCCCTCCTGAGAACCCCCCACCCTAACTGCCCCCCTAGGACCCTACCTGTCCCCTAACTGCCCTGACCCTTATCCATGGGTGGCAGGTTTGTAGAAATTTTGGTGGTGCCTAGAATCCGCCCCCCCACCTACCTAAGGCTCTGGGAGGGGGGTTGAGGTCTGGGGTGCAGGTCCTGGGCAGGGGATTAGGGTGCAGGAGGGGTGCAGGGTGCAGGCTCTGAGATAGAGTTTGGGTGCTGGGTGCAGGCTCCGGGCTGGGGCAGGGGGTGGGTGTGCAGGAGGGGGTGAGGGGTGCAGGCTCTGGGATGGAGTTTGGGGGTGGGAGGCAGTGCAAAGGGAGGGGGTTTAGGCTTTGGGAGGGAGTTTGAGGGCAGGATGGGGTGTGTGGGAAGGGGGAGGGGGTTTGGGAGGGAGTTTGGGGATAGGAGGGGGTGCAGGGGTGAGGGCTGTGGGTCTGAGGATGAGGGGTTCATGATGCAGGAGGGGGCTCAGGGCTGGGGCAGAGGATTAGGGTGCGGGGGGGATGAGGGCTGGGGCTGAGGATGAGCGGTTTGGGGCATTGGAGAGGCTCAGGGCTAGGGTGGAAGGGCAGGGTAAGGGCAGCCTGCCTTGCCATTAGTGGATGGGGGGCACTAGGACCCTGGGGCAGCAGACAGCAGTTGCTGCCAGGAGCAGGGTGTAGGAATGTGCTACTCTGGGCAGCAGGCAGCAGGGGGGGAGCAGGGGAGGGGCTCTGGCTGCTGGAGGCCAATGGGAGCGGCTCAATCAGGCCCAGCCGCCCAATCACCCACACCACACTCTGCATGGAAGGGAGGGGAGGGGGGAAAATCCCGGACCTTTTAGGACGGCTATTTAAAGACGCAAAAGCCGGACATGTCCGGGGAAATACGGACGGACGGTAACCCGAAGCAATATTCATAACTCTTACTACCCACTGTGTACATGCATCACACAAGAATATTAATGATCAGTGAGTAATTGGTTTGCAAAAGATACCTCACAAGGCCCCTATTTTGTAGAAAGATTATTGCAATGGTGGGTAGGAGTGAATACAAGGGTGTTGTAGTGTCATAATAAGTAACTTAATGGGGTGAAAAGTCCAGGTACTAAAGGACTCTCTAGCCTGGTGGAGAGAGACAGAATGAGAACCAAAGGCTAAGTTACAGCCAGACACATTCCAATGACAAACAAGGTGTCAGTGTTTCACAGGGAGGGCGATTTCCCATTGGAACAACTTACCAGAGGAAGGGGTGGATTCTCCAGCTCTTGATGTCTTCGCATAAAATCTGGATGCCTCCCTGCAAGATCCTTTAATCAAACACAATGTATTGGGCTCAGTACAGGGGGGATGTGGTGAAATTCTCCAGCCTGTGCTGTGCAGGAGGTCAGACTGGATGAGTTCATCATGGTCCCTTCTGACCTTAAACTCTATGAATCTATGAACCCACAGAACTCATTGCTGACATGAGACATACTGGCTCTCTCAAGGTGCACGTGCACCTCTTTCCTTTGATCACACACATGGGGATGGGTGGAAGAAGGGCTCAGAAGGGACAGATTCTCCCCCCACCTTATCCTGCTCCCCACTTCCCTGAACCAGCCAGTCCTGCTCTCCTCATGTTTTTAACCTCGTTAGCTTATATGCTAAAGTACAATGGCTTTGTCTTGGCTATAAAATTGAGTGAAATCTGTTTAAACATCTGTTTAACATCTCACCTTTAAATCCTAAGCAAGACAAGGCCTTAGTGGTGTTGAAAAACACAGTAGCCCCGACTCTGAAGCAGGGGTATAATACCCTAAAAACATGTTAGCGCCTAGGTTTTGACACCCTTAAAAATGGTTTAAGTGGCTGTGGTTAACAAGGTGTTACATGTGAATTTAAATGCAGGATTTCACTGCAAACATATGATTTCCCCTAGTCTAGACATGGTGTCTGTTCACTAGGGAAGCAGGCTGTGTTCTGAACTCCTGTAAGCTAACGGGTGGTAGTTTTCACAGGAGTTGGCAGGTCCGGGCAAAGGCTATGAGGGAATCTAGGGTTTACTCTGACTGGCTAACTCATGTGACAGCTACAAACTGCCTTTCATCGCTACCGTGTGACAGCTAACATGAATTAGGGACACACTTTTTTTTTTAACTAGCAAAGTCACCATCTGGTTCCTTTATTTGGCTCTATGCTGCTGATTAGGCACCGCGCCGCTGACATCGGTGTTCTCCAATGCCAAAGGAAACCAAAAGTGAAATCACAGGGCAGAGAGGAGACAAGAGGCTAGAAGAAACTTGCTCGGCCATCCGGACGCTATGGAGATGCCCCCGCCGTTTGTGAGTAGCCCCGTGCAGAAAGCCATGGCCAAATCGCTGCCAAGGCTCTGGGTCCCCTTGGGCAGCGGTTCTCAACCTTTCCAGACAACTGTTCTCCTTTCCGGAGTCTGATTTCAGCTCCCGGTGGCGGGGCTTGGGCGGGCTTGGAGGCAGGTGGCTAGCCTGAGACACTGCTCATGCTGCTATTTCTAGCACGCTCGCTGGAGTGGAGTTAGCGTGTGTCTTTATTAATGGAGATATCCTATCTCCTAGAGCTGGAAGGGACCTTGAAAGGTCATAGAGTCCAGCCCCCTGCCTTCACTAGCAGGACCAAGTACTGATTTTGCCCCAGATCCCTAAGTGGCCCCCCTCAAGGATTGAACTCACAGCCCTGGGTTTAGCAGGCCAATGCTCAAACCACTGAGCTATCCCTCCCCCCAGTTACCCCAGGCCAGGAGGAACGCTGCCAGCTGCGGCACAGATATCCTCTTAATGTGAGCTTGGCTCAATGCCTGGGCTGGCTGCTCTGGGCCAGTTTCCTATAGGAGCTGCAGGGAGTTGGTCGCTAGGGGCCTCCTGCTGGACAGCGGCTCAGAGTCCCTGGGGAGCTAGTGCTGATGCCAGGTGTCTCCTGAGGGCAGAGAGGGAGCTCATGCCCCTGGCTAGGGGGAAGCTGGCCGGTGTCAGATGAACAGCTCTCCCCAGCTCCCATGTCCTCCTCTGCCTGACCTGGGTTCCTGTGGTGGGGTGGGGGCCAGTGGAGGGTGGTTGGTGGGGCACAGGGGGAACTGGTGGGAGAGATTAGCAGGGAAGAGAGGGGTGGGTTTAACAGAGGGGTGGGAGGCACCAGCGGGGTGGAGGGAAAGCGAGAGATGGGGGTGTTAGCAGGGGAGCCGGAAGATTAGCAGTGGGAGCTAGGGGTTATTGGTAGCAAGGGGAGCCAGTGGGGGTTAACGGGGGTAGGGGAAGCTGGCAGGGGGGATTAGCAGGGGGTCGGGGAGCCATTGGGGGTTAGCAGACAGCAGGGGACAAGGGAAGGCGGGGGGGTTAACTGGGGGCAGGGGGAGTCAATGAGGGGGTTTTGTGAGGCATCTGGGGGGGTTAGAGGGTTCAGGGGCAGCCAGTCTGGGGGTACTATCGGGGCTTCCTCTGAGCATTCAGTTTCACTTGTCTCTCACTCCTGCAGGAGGAACCAAACCTTGGGGACCTGATAGAGATTTTTCGCATTGGATACCAGCACTGGGCCCTCTATGTAGGAAATGGTTATGTCATCCACCTGGCCCCCCCCAGTAAGGAATGGCCCTCAATGAGGGAGGAGGGGTGCTGATCCTGGGGGGCGGGGGATTGGTCTGGGCAGGGCAGAGGTACTGGGCATCTCAAGTGGGGGCAGGGTGAGGCAGGGGGTACGTGTAATCTGGCCTGGACATTCATGAGTCATTGGAGGGTGCCTCTATTTACTGGGGCTGCCTGAGTTTCTGAGCCCCGGCAAGTCAGGCAGCAGGTTGAGGGGCACAGGGAGACTGGTATGAGGGGATGGATGGGGTGTCTCAGGCTATATACATCAACAGACATGTGGCTAGATAGGAACATATAACAATGGATAGACAGGGGTGTGTGTGTGGGGATGGATGGGTGGATAAAGAGGAATGTATGAAGATTGGATGGATAGAGAGGGTGTACGGATGGGATAGATAGATAGTGGTATATGGATGGTTAGATCAGATGGACAATTGGCACCCCCAGGTGAGTATGCAGGAGCTGGCTCCTCCAGCATCATGTCCGTGCTGACCGACCGAGCTGTGGTGAAGAAGGACCGTCTCTGGGACGTTGCTGGTGGTGACCGGTACCGAGTCAACAACAAGTATGACTGGAGGTGCTCGCCGCTGCCTGTCAGCAAGATCCTCATGGAGGCTGAGTCTCTAGTGGGCCAGAAGATGATGTACAGCGTCACCAGCGAGAACTGCGAGCACTTTGTCACCAAGCTGCGCTACGGCCACCCCATGTGTGACCAGGTACGTGCAGGTGCCCCTCTCACGCGCTTGTCACTGCCTTCCTGAAGGGTGGGCTTGGTGTAAACCAGCCACACCTACTCGGTCAGGGTCTGTGCAGCGCTTGGCACAACAGGGCCCGGATCTCACTCAGGGTCTGGGCAGCGCCCGGCCCAACAGGGCCTTGATCTCAGTGTATAGCTGCTGCTGTAATCCATATAATGGGGATGTGCTCCTTGTGCTGTGCAGCAACTTTTAGAGCCCGGCTTAGTCCTCCCTTGTGGATGACTGGTCACCAGGCAGGTGCATGGGCCCAGTCTTTGGATCCCACGTGTTTTCAAGCAGCTGCTAGTCACTGCCTCTAGTCCTGACCTTGCCAGCACATGCGCAAGGCACCCCTCCTTGAGATCATAGGACTCCTGTGCCCAGCTGCTGGGGGCCCTAAGGGTATGTCTACACTACAGGATTAATCCGAATTTAGATAATTCAAATTTGGGAAACAGGTTGTATAAATTCGATTGTGCGCGGCCACACTAAGCACCTTAATTCGGTTTTAAAGCACATTAATTCGGTGGTGTGCGGCCACACTACCCCATTAACTTAAACACAGTAATTCGGTGGTGTGCGTCCACACTAACCCTAATTCGAATTAACAAAATCGATTTAGGCTCTACTCCGTTCGTCGAGGTGGAGTACAGAAATCGATTTAAAGGGCCCTTTAATTCGAATTAACTGGCTCTGTAGTGTGGACGGGTGAAGGGTTAATTCGGATTAAGGCAGCTAAATCCGAATTAAAGTCCTAGTGTAGACCAGGCCTAAGACTAGTGCTAATCCCCCAAATCGCCCCAGTAGCTTCTCTACACACCCCAGTAACACCACCCAGGTTTATAATTTAACCCTTTCGGGACTGTGTTGCAGATAAAGCAAGGAACCCAGGCTTTGCAAAGGAACTTAACCACACACACACACTCTCTCTCTCTCTCTCTCTCCCCTTTTGGGAAGCACAAGAGTGCTACAGATCTGTGGAAAACACCCCCAGCACCTGAACGCAATCCCCTTCCTCAGAGCCCTGCCCACTCCTGAGAGTCTCTTGGGTTCTGGTCAGTGTCGTTCAGGGAGGCCAGGGCCCTCCTGCTCCGCCTCCTGGTCCTGCAACGGCCTGGCCCCTTGGCTAGAGCCCACTGCTTTGAAAGGCCACTTCTGGCATCTCTTTCCCGCCTCTCTTCTTATGCTGGGCTTTTCCATGCTCTGGCCCCGCTGTGTGCTGCTGGGAACAGGGGCTGTTAAACGTCCATGACAAATAATGCCCCAGTGGTGAGGAAACTGAGGCAGGGAATGGCGTGTAGGTGTTGGGTCTACCTGGATCTGAAGTTCTCTTGTGCAGTCTGAACAGTGATGGTTGCAAAAATCCTTCTGCAAGTCTGTCTCCACTGCCTTCCATTATCATGTGTCCCAAAGGCTTAAACTATAAACCAGAGTGCCCTGCCCACAGGTGGAGTTCTGGGAAAGGGCCGGCATAAGCTACTGGGGTGTCTTGGGGGGGGGGAAGAGGGGCACACTGTGAGCCTAAGGTACGTGGGGTCCAGGTCCCACTTCAGACAGTCTGTGCCCAGGAACTGTGCCAGAGAGCAAGGAAAGGGACAGTGACTGAAGTCTGCCCAGACAAAGGTGAGTGTAAAAACCACACACAGCAGCTTGGTGAGTGTCCAGCAGGGGGTGCTCTGTCTTGCCGAGGGCAGGCTATTCGAGGGTGATGGTGCTGTTCCAGCTTCTCCAACACAGTCTGTTTTCTGCCACCGAATGGACGGCCTGATCTGCACAGACGGTTGCTGAACACTAGCTGTCCTTGTAAACTCAGTGGTCATGGACATAGTCCCCAGATCGGGGCTCCTTGGCAGCTAGCTGACCGGCTCCCCTTTCTGTCCTGCAGGTCAGGGACACCATGCTGACTGTGGGGGTCGCAGGGCTGGGCCTGGCTACTCTGGGGATCATTGGAGCCATGGTCACAAGGTCCAGGCGTCAGAACCAATAGCAAGACTCCCCTCTGGGCCCAAGGCCTGGCGCTTCTGCAGCAGGGGCCCTCGGAGCGGGCTCTTCGTGGGGAGCAAGCTGAACTTGTCAGCATCTTCCTGTCCTTTGTATGTCATCAGGTTTTCTGGACTAGACGTCTCATTTAAAATAAACTAATCTAGTCTCAGACCTTCCTCTCTGTCTGATCCTGCCAATTTCACCCAGACATGGGGGGTGTGGGGAGTGGTACTCAGTCCCCATACATACCCACCCTGCGGGGTGGATTGTGGTGCTGAGTCCATGTGCTGCTCTCCTGGTTTGGTGACTCTGAGTCATTTTGGCCCTAGGGCCAATCAGTAGGATTGCCAACATTTCCATTTCTCCAAACCGGACCTTACAGCAGTTCTCTCCAGGGATCCTCTCCTACCCAGCAAGGGGCTAGGCCCTGCTGTCTCACCCCGGTGGCAGCTCCTCTGGGCCCGCGGCCTGCTCGCTCAGGGGCCAGGGCAAAGTGGAACCAAAGGCGCCAGCCTCTGGCTGGGGGCGGACCAGCCCCTCCCCAAGCTCCCCTTTCCTGCCTGGCAGGTGCTGCTCTGCCCTGGGATCTGGCTGATGCTGCCAGGCCTGATCCTGCTGGGGGTGGGGGAAGGGGAGAGCTGCACCACCCCATTTTTGCACCCCCCCGGCGGCTCTGCACCAATGGCAGCTGCCCCTCTCCCGCTGCCCTAGTTACAGCCCTAGAAAATTACAGTAACCGGACCTTTGGTGTCCAGTCAATACTTCAGACTGTCGATAGAACAGATCCCCTTAAAACCAGGCTTGCCGGTCAAAAACCGAACACCTGGCAACCCTACCAATTAGCCCAGGCTGTGGGGTACCCCTGGATCCACATAATGGCCCAGCCATAGGGACTTATGACTGGAAGGGGCCTCCTGATGTAGCCCCTAGAGCTAGCTTCAGCATTTATTGTATTCAGCAGTAACGCAAGGAACCTACAGGCCTGTCTCCTGTAAGACACTGACTTCAGCAGTTCCCATAAGGCTTGAGGCCTATGAACTTTGGCACAGATAAATGACCTAACTGTCACCCCTAAGTTTGGGGAAACTGTGAATAGTGTTTAAGGGGAAGTTTGTCCATAACGACACCAGCCAACCACAGAAACCTGAGCTAACATCAGCTTTTGGGATATTTTAGGACGGGAACATCTGCAGATGTCTGACCACAAGAGGGCCATGGCAATGAATTGATGGATATGATAATAAGTTGAGATCCTTAATGTACTAACCTATAGGAGAAGGGCACCGCAACATTGGTAGGGTGAGGAAATACAAATAAGGACTAGGGGAGAAACCCCTACTGAATATGCATTAGACATAGTGGCATCAGTGCAACATATGGGCAAGAGGAGAGAGAGAGCTGTAACCCTTGGGAGGTGCCAGAATGATGGCCACTGGTGAAGAGGAGGAAGGTGACGAGGAAGATAATGGCTAACATTTCTGGTTGTTCTGCAAGGGATGGTGTGAGGAGATGGACATTCTGTAGTATCTCGATCTACCCTGCTGGGTTAGAGGGTTTCTGACTTTGCTAAATGTCTTAATAAACTACTATAAATACAGAAAGGTTCACAAAGTGTGAAAGTTGCAACTGTGCACATTAGGGTTCCCAACTAAACAGTCATTTTACTAATACTGGACCTGATCTTGGGACAAGAACTTTTCACACTTCAGAGGGATAACTGGGAATTTGTAAGTAATCAATATAATTAATTTACAATTCATAGATCAGGCTACACTGGGTCACTGAGTCCAGTCTCCGCTGGCACAGCAGCCAACCCCATCATAGAACCCCGGTCAGAAATTTATCCAACTCCGGCTGCCAACTAGTTGGGTTGTTTCCCCAACACCCCTCCTACTGGGAGGCAGTTCCAGAACTGGCGTTACCTCCATGGTGTATTTAGAGAGAGAGCAATCAGAGCCCTCTCAGCCTTCGCCCGGCCAGGCCAAACAAAGCCCAGCTCATTCAGTCTCCTTTCAAAAGATCAGCTCTCCAGTCCCCTCAGCAGCCTAGGAGCCCTTCTCTGCACCTGGGCCAGTTTGGATTCATCTTCTTTGACGTGGGGTGACCACATTTGTACATCCAGGATGGACTCCCTGGATATCAAGCCAGAGGTCATGGTCCAGGAAGAGCTCTGGAGGGGTATATTTACATTGCAATTTAAAACCTGCAGCTGGCCTGTGCCAGCTGACTAAGGTTCAGGTTAATTGTGGTGTAGGTGTCCAGCTCGCACTGCAGCCCGAGTTCTGGGACCTTTCCGCCTCGTAGAGTCCTAGAGCCTGGGCTCCAGCCCGAATATCTACACCACAGTTAAACAGCCCCTTAGCCCAAGCCCAGCAAGCAGATGTCAGCTGGCATGCTTAGGCTTAGCAGCTCAGCTTCGGTCAGTCCCACCCACAGCCTGTCAGCACAAACAACAAGCACCTCCTAGCACCTGCAACACTGCCATCTCTTCCTGCTCCATACATGGTCTAACCACTAGAGGGAGGCAGTGAGCTACAGGGCTTTAGCCAGGGTGCTGCTGTGTTACATGGGGTGAACGGATTGGGGTTTGTATCGACACATGCCAGTTCTGTGATTTTCAATCAATTAAAACAATACATAATCACCGCCTCCAATTTTACTCCTGGGGGAATTCTGTGCCAAAAAATTAAAAAGTCTGAAAAATTCTGCAAACTTTATTTATCAAAATAACACTATATAATCATGCCAGTTTCAATTTTGGTAATTTATTTCAAAATACCTGTCAGCAAGTATGTCTGTAAACAATACAGTGACACAAACAACCCCCCCTCCCCCAAGCCCAGCCATGGCCCCCCCAGTCCAGACACTCGCATTCCTTTTCCCCCAGAGTCCAGCTGCAGTTCCCTCCCCGACCCCCTTCCCCCCTCATTCAGAAGGAGAAACAGGCTGATGTTGGGTCCTGGGCTTGCAAGGAGTTTCCTGTGCACTGCCACCTCCTTCCTTCAGGGCATGCTGGGAACTGCAGCTGCTGGAAACCCTCCAGTTGCCTCCCCCTCCCCCTGGTCTTGTATTCTATTTGCGAGATGGGCCCTGCTGGGTCCAGCGACCCCTAGTGGCGGCCAAAATCTCTGCAGCCCATTTCTGTGGGGGGGGGGGGGGGGGGGGGGGGAAAGGAAATTCTGCACGCCCAACATTATTTTCTGCACAATTCTGCACTGCGCAGTGGCACAGAATTCCCCCAGGAGTATCCAATGGGAATTGTACCAGCGACCATTGGGGCTAAAAGCTGCAACAGGGGATCTAAGCTGGGAACTTTGGCATCAAATACCAATCCCCCTGCTCTGCCCCCTTCCTCCACACCTGAAAAGTATGGCTGTGTGAGTAGCAGCTCCCGATCATGCTTCAAACATATTCAGGATACAACGGAACATTGTAGCTTAGCCTTGTGCTAGTTGCAGAACCTTCTTAGGTGCTGACCTAGGCCCACGATATCAGAGCATCTCATGCTCGCTAACATGCAACGTGGCTTTTTTTCCTGTTTGTCTGGAACGCGATAACTGGAGAATGACACATCAGCTCAGTTCCAGCCATTCAACACAGGTCCCCAAAGAGCCAACCATTGGTAATGGCCAGGTTGGCTTTGGCTCAGTGCCGATAGAGGGCTATAATATCATGTATGGTATGGGGAAAGTGAATAGGAAGTGCTATTTACCCCTTTACATAACACTACAACTGGGGTCACCAATGACATTAATAGGCAGCAGGTTTAAAACAAAGGAAAGTACTTCTTTACACAATGGACAGTCAACCAGTGGAACTCATTGCCTGGGGATTTTGAGAAGACCAAAACTATAACTGAGTTCAAAAGAGTATTAGATAAGTTCATGGAAGATAGGTCCACCAATAGCTATTAGCCAAGATGGTCAGGGACGCAACCCCATGCTCTGAGGGTCCTTAAACCTCCAACCACCAGAAGCTGGGACTCGATAATTGCCCAGCTCTGTTCCTTCTCTCTGAAGCTTTTGGCACTGTCCACTGTCAGAGAAAGAATACTCGGCTAGATGGGCCACTGGTGTGACCCAGTATGGCCGATGTTCTTATGAAGTGTAAGCATAGAGGTGGGTGTTCCTGCTACTCCATGTGAAATCAGACTTGACCCAGCTATTGATTAAAATTCTGGTATCCTTCTCAAGCCTACTCACTCAGCTCAAACTTTATAGATTGGAGGGCAGAAGATATGGGTACAGTTCATTGTGGGAATGCTAGTGGAGGACTATTCAGATTTGATACCTGGTACCTGCCCCTCCAACACATCCACATTGAAGAGTGGGGCAGGTATAGGGTAGGCCTCAGCTAACCCGAGCATGTACCCATATCCCTCAGGTGAGCTAGCTTTCTCAACACCTTCTTGCCCTGAGCATGCGCTTCAGGGGGTTGAGTGTAGACAATAGGTGGGTTTGGGCACAACTTCAATTTGGACACAAGTAGAGTCAGCAGCATAGACGTACATGAGCTTCCCATAGGCTGGAATCCAAGCCCTGAATATCCAACCCACGTGGTATTTGCCTTAGATAAATCCAGTGGCAGAATGAAACGGCAAGCTGACAAGAGGGTGTGGAAAGCACAGTCAGGAAAGCCCAGGGCATCCGATTCCAGCCCCATGCAAGAGACATCTCTCATCCCTGTAAGTACTGAGGGCAAGGTACTGCAAGAGGGTCTAAAGCAAGCAAGTGATACAGCTCGGGGGGGGGGGGGGGGGTTAACACAGGATGGCCAATCCTGGGAACTGTTTGTCCAGCAGCTCTGGGGCAGTTCTATCTGTTCTAGTTCTATTTTTTCTCCTGTAGCAGTTGTGGGGATTTTGTAACCAATAGGTTTTGTGTCAGGGAATCTTTTGGTTCACCAACAATGGTCTAGAAGTCAGGACTCCTGGGTTGTTTTCCCAGCTCTGCAACGTGAGAGAGTTCTAGTGGGTTAGAGCAGGAAGGAGTGGGACCCAGAACTCCTGGGTTCTATTTTCAGCTCTGGGAGAGGAGTGGGGTGTAGTGGTTAGGAGCCAGGACTTCTGGGTCCCATTCCCAGATGTACAACTATCAGTGTAGCCCTTAATTAAAAACTAGACAGTGAAATCTGCTGTAGAGAGTATGTCAGAACAACCCTCGGTGCAGTGTTCCCCCTGTGGCAGGTCATGACCTGACCGGCACACCTGCCTCAGTTTCCCCCTCCAGTCGCTCAATAACTTCATTTCAGGCTCTCTTGTCTCAATATGATTTCCCCTTGAGGCTGGCTTATTACAACAACCTAGTCCGAATAGTCCATGACAAGAGTCCCAGACGTAGTCCATTTCTGCCCCCAGTGCAGCTACTCATTAAAAATCAAGCTGCCCCATCCCAAGGTGCCCCACATACCAGCACCTTCAGCCCCAGACTCTGTTGGTCCTCTCCTGTCCTTGTACCAGGATGGCCACCCCAGCCCTTCCAACAGGAACACAGCCCTGCTCTTCCCAGCAGGAACCCACTCAGCCTCTCTGCTGGGACCCTCCCTCAAGCCCCTTGACTCTCTCGCTGTTCCGCCCTGCAGATATCACTCCACTGCCCTGCTGCCTTCAGCCCTCTCCAGTCCTTGTCTCTGGCTCCAAGCCAGCAGGTAACACCCTCTGCAGCTGCTGCTCCAGCCCTGGCTCTCTGGCTTGGGCACACCACCCAACAAACCTCTCTTGCTGCTCGCCTACTTTCAGCCTTCTTCCACGAACCACCTTCTGCTTCCTTCCAGGAATCCTGCAGTCCGCAGGTCTCAAGCACTTCTCACCTGAGTATAGCCTCCAGGTGCTGTCCTGCTCTCTTAATTGGCTAAACAGGAGCACCTGTTTTGGCCCAGGGGTGCTGGATCTGCCAGCTGCCTTGTGCCAGGGTGATACAAAGCAAACAGCCAAGGGAATGTGGCAGCAGCCCCGAGCTTGGCTCATGCATCTCAGTAAGATTGCGCAGTGCAGGAATGCAGGGCTCAGACTGGGATTGCACGCAGCGGTGTAGTGCAATGTCACCTCTCTCCACTTGCTGTCTTGCTGGCCGAAGTCTGGAGGTGTCCTGGTTGAGAAACAAACCTAAATATATGGACTGAGTGTAACTGACACGACAGCTGCTTGAGTCTGCAAAGAGCCTGAGCCAATTGCTCTGAGAGGGGGGAATTGAGTGTAGCTAGGAGTGTATGGGCTGAATGCTGGCATCGCTGAGTGACATCTCATCTGCCACTGGTCGGGTTTGTGAACATGGGAGTCACTTTGTCTCTAGGTCCAATCAGTCCTGGCTATGGGATTTCACATGGTGGCCCCATCCAGAGGTCTTCACTGGAATTAAGCCAGGGATGAGGCCTGGCAAGTCAGTAATGAGGTGGCATGAAATGCGAGTATATACAAGGGCTCATCTTTTTATTAGCCTCTAAACTCCAGGGCTGCTCAGCTCCAGCCAGTCCCATGCCAGCTCTATTTGGCCTCTGGCAGGGAGTGTGAGTTTCATGGCTAGAGCATCAGGACCCCTAGGTTCTACTCTTTGTCTCACAGAGGGGAGTGGTGTCCAGTGCTTAGAGCGGGGGACAGCGTCAGAGCTCCTGGATTCCATTCCCAGCTCTGAATGGGGAATGGGGTCTAGTAGTTTGGGGAGGTGGGAGGAACTGAGAGTCAAAATTGCTGGGTTCCATCCCAATCTTGTGGGCTGGAGCATGGGAGACTGGGGAGCCAGAAATCCCCAAACAGCAGAATCTTAAAGCATATTCCCCTGGGGATCTGAGATGCACCGGCTCAGAGCTAAGTTTGTTCTTTTCTATGAGTCTTCTCCCTTCCCCTCCAAGTCAGCAGCAATAGTGGACCAGCCTGGGCTAGCTGCTCTTTCCTTGGCAGGGCTGGCGTCACCTGATCCCTCCCCCAGACTGTCCTGCCCACGCCAACACCCCGCTGCCCTGCAGCGTGAACTCTAGTGAGTAACGGGGCTGTCTGTGGCTCTGACACCCATCTGCAACCACTTACGCTCATTAAAGAGGAGCGTTCCTCTCTCGGCCCCCTGCCTCACAAGGCAGGCTGAGGACCCAGCCCCCCGCCGCCACGCCAAGATGATCATGCCTCCTTCCTCGGTAAGTACCGGCAGCAAAAAGAGCCCCAAGAACTGTCAGTCAAACCTTTTAGCTCAGCTGATCTCTGCAGCTGTTTGTCTGTCCCAGCTGGGCCATGCCAGCCCTAGTATCACTCTCTCATTTGTGGGGTGTGTTCAAGGAGTGCAGGGTAGCATCTGGACGTCCGATTACTGGGTCCCCCATGAAGGTCAGCTCTTGGCATGTGTCCTTGCGTTAAATATAGTCTTGGCCAGGCTGGCTGGCAGGAAGAGGAGGTCCTGTTACACTGCATCTGGACTCGTTTCCTCTCAATGGAGTGAAATCAGGGAAGGATATCTCCCTTCGTCAATTACAGAGCCGCACTCTTCCCTCACAAACCAGCTGCAGAGCAAGAGGGATTTGGTTGCTTAGTTGCCAGGCATCCAGACCTCTTGATCTGCGGGACCCTCTTAAATTCTGGGCTGATTTACTCAACACTGTGACAACAGATAGCAAGTGTATCCTGCAGTGGGCGGTATGAGGCAGACAGACCTTGGGAGCTCAACTGGGGTTGGCTGGAAAATGTTTGGGTTTCTTTTTCCCCTCATGGGAAGTTTTTGATGAAACATCAAGCTTTTTTTATCAAAATCTGCTGAAAATTGAATATTTGTGGTTAGAAACTATGTATTTTTAGCCAAACACTGAATAATTTTGGCCAAAAAATGAACAGTTTTGAATAGGGTGACCATACGTCCCATTTTGGCCGGGACAGTCCCAGCTTAAAAGTTGGCAAGAGCAACTTTTTGCCAAAAAAGTTGGCAAACGCACAGTTTTGCCAAAAAAGTTGGCAAACGCACAGTTTTGCCAAAAAAGTGGGGTGTGACCCCTAGTAGGGTGTGGAGGAACGTGTGGGCTGGAGGGGGGGCAAGTGGCACTGCCAGCCCTGCGTGGGAGAGAGGGCTCAGGAGAGCAGCTTGGGCTGGGCCAGCCCTGGACGGGTGGGTGGGTGGGGGGGCTCGGGCCGGTCCCACGCGTGTGGGGGAGAGGAGGGGCTCGGGCTGGCCCCATGCAGTGTCCTGTTTTCCCTTTGGGAAAATATGATCACCCTAGTTTTGAATCAAAATTGCCAGAAACTGATATTTTGGCCCCAAACTGACAAAATCTGAATATTGAAATCATATATTTTCAGTCAGAAACTACCAAAAGTTGAATATTTTTGGCTGAAAGATGCATATTTTTGGCCAAAACAGAGATTTTTTTCAGCCAAAACTGATGAAACCAAAACAGTTTCACTTTTTCACAGAAATAAAATCACTTTTTGGTCTTTTGTAGGAAATATGATTTTTAAAAATGAAAACTTGAAGATGAACATTTCTTTCCATGACCACTTACGTTATGTCAAAACCCCAATTTTCCTTTTGAAAAAAAACGTTTTGATGGAAAATTTCCCCCGGTTCTTATTCCCAGCGGCAAAGGAAAATCCCGATTTTTGAACCAATCTCATAATATCTCTTGCAGCTGCACTCCTGAGTTTGAACATGCAGGGTTGTGGCAATACTGTAACATTTCTGTTTTAAAATCCATGTATATTATTTCTGGCTATTTCACCTTGCAACACCCTAAACATTTCCTCTCTGTGATGGGGTTCCTGGGGTGCCGCCTGGCCTGTGGGACTGCTAGCAGAGCCCTCTGTCCCTCCAACCTGGGGTATCCTCACATACTGTGATGCTGTATCAAGTTACAAATCTCTGGCTGGTACTGCACCTATACAGCCATCCACAGACAGGGACACACCCAACAGAGTTACATGAATGCTTCTCCCAGCCAGTCATGTACCATCAACAGGGAGGTTCCAGCCAATTCCCACCAGCTCCCCAGCCTTGTACCCCAGAACTGTACCGTTCTGCCCTGGTCAGAAGCCTGACCAGTGTAAGTTCATTACCCAGTCCACCCCCCGTCCACCCCCTCCCCCATGTGGAGAGGACATACACTAGCATAGGTGTGCGCAGCACATTTCATTAGGGTGTGCACCCAGGGAATTTTTTTTTTAAAGGCGAACATCATAAAGGTTGGGGTGTGGGAGGGAGTGCGGGGTGTGGGAGGGGGTGCTGTGTGCAGGAAGGGGCTCAGGGAAAGAGATTGGGGCAGAGGAGGGGTGTGGGGTATATGAGGGAGCTCAGGGAAGGCGGTTGGGGTGCAGGAGGGGTGCGGAGTGCAGGAGGGGGCTCAGGGCAGGGGATTGGGGTGCAGGGTGTGGCGGGGGCTTAGGACAGGGAGTAGGGGTGCAGGAGGGGTACAGGATGCAGGCAGGGGGCTGGGGGGCAGGAGGAGTGCAGGGTGCAGGCAGGGGGCTCAGGGCAGGGGGTTGGGGGCAGGAGGGGTGCGGCAGGGGGCTCAGGGCAGGGGGCTGGGGGTCGGGGGGGGGGCAGGGGGCGGGGGGGGGGGAGTGGGGGTGAGGGGTGCAGGCAGGGGGCTCAGGACAGGGAGTTGGGGTGCAGGAGGGTAGGCTGTTTGCAGGCAGGCCCGGGGCTGGGGATCTGGGCTCCCTCGTCCCGGCAGGCAGGCTCGGGGGCTGGGCTGGGCGCTTGGGGCCAGGCCGGGCAGAGGCAGCTGGGGTGGATCGCAGAGGGGCCAGGCTGCTCCCAGGGCTGGACTCAAGGCCGAGGGTGCCGGGCCGCAGCCCCCGAACAGCGCCGGGGAGCTGAGCTCGCAGCCGGGCTGCGGGGGGGGCCTGTGGGCCGGGCTCGCACCCTGCCCCAGGCCTGCTGGCTCCCAGGCCCCACTTAATGTGGGCTGGGCTCAGGGGCGGCCTGACCCCCCCGGGTGGTGCCCGGGCCCCCGGCCAGCGCGGGGAGCCGCAGGCGGGTTTGGGGCCCTGGGTGCTGCAGCTGCCTTGGGGGGGGGCTGGGGCAGCACCCCCGCGGGCCACCTTAAGCGGCTGTGTTGGTGCTGCCGGGTGGGAGGCTGCCAGGGAGCACATGGGGCTGTTAAAGCAGCCAGCCCAGCCCTGGGGAAGGGGAGCCCGGCTCAACAGGGAGCAGGCGGGGTGGGGGGTGGAGGAGGGGTTCGGGCTCCGGCTCGGCGCCGCTTACCAGCAGCGGCGCACTCCCTGCCTGCCAGGGCCCCATGCCGCGCCGCTCACCACATCCCCGCACAGCCCCGGGGGAGGGAAGGGGCGGCACAGGGCTCTGAACACTGCCCTTGCCACGCCTCCAGGTACCTCCTCTGAAGCTCCCATTGGCTGTGGTTCCCCGTTCCCGGCCAATGGGAGCTTCGGGAGGCGGTGCCTGGAGCAACCCCCCCAGCCCCAGAGACATGGTGCCCTGATGGCTGCTTCTGAAAGCAGCTCGGGGCCTGCGGCACCACGGGGGGCAAATCCCGCGGGCCGGATCCAAAGCCCTGAGGGGCCAGATCCGGATCCGGCCCATGGGCATTAGGGTGTGCCCGGGCACACCCAGCACACCCCATGCGCACTCCTATGCACACTAGCCTTTGTAAACTGAGCTGAGATTTCCCAAGCACTTCAACCAAAACACAATTTTAGGTAAAATAGAAAACATATTTGTTAACTACAGAAAGATCGATTTTAAGTGCTCATAAGTAGCAAGCATAGAGATCAAAGTTGGTTACCTAAGAAATAAAATAAATTCACAGTCTAAGTTCTATAAACTAAACAGGATTTGAATCAAGCAGTGTCTCACCCCGATAGATGGTACAACGTGTCACAGATCTTCAATACACAGGCTGGAACTCTCCGCCAGCCTGGGACCACCCTCCCCAGTTCAAAGTCTTTGTCCTCCAGACCTTTCTTCTAGGTGGTGAGTTCGGGGGTGAGTGAGGCCAAGCCATGATGTCTCTTCCCCTCTTTATAGTTTCTTCCAGCTTGCTGGAAAGATCTATGGTTGTGACATGGACGTCCGCCCCCATTGGTCAAGCATTCTCTATCCTCTACATGATTTCTCTGAGAAGTCTCCATTGTATACAGCTCCTGGGATTGTGGATTCTCTTTAATGGGCATCAGCACGTCTGGCTACTCCATTGTTGTACCTGAAAGGCTGGTTGTGGGTGTTCCCAACCTCACAACACTTTTCAGTAACACACACATAGCAAAACTTCATAACTTCACATACAATGATAACACATACAATCCAACAGGATATTAATGTTCAACAGATCAAGACCTTTAACGTGATACCTCACAAGGCATACTTTGTGCAAAACATATCAATTATATGACAGGGGTGAGTATGGGGATTCCAGGGTGTGGCTTTGAAGTACAGAGTGCCACGCTCTCCTTCCTTGATGATGCTTACGGCAATGAATCTGCCTCACCTCTGGTCTAATTTTAGCTTTTCTTTTCCAGCAATGAGCTAAACAGGTTCCCCAGGAACCACAACAATCCAGTGTCCATTTATGCTACTTAGATGCGATGCAAACACCTAAGTTTCTTTTATCAATTTCTGAGGATTTACATAGGTGACACATTTGAATTAGTCAAGGGGCAACTGAAACTGAAATCTTAATTTCTTTAAAACATAGAAACTCTGAGACAATAAGCCATTCTGCTTCTGAAGCTCAACGAAAATGCCACTTAAAGGGGTAAGTACTTACTGAAACGGCTTGTATATCAGATTAACTTGTATTGGACTTGTCCTTTATTCGTAGATTCATAGAACCATAGATTCCAAGGCCAGAAGGGACCATTGTGATAATCTAGTCTGACCTCCTCTCTAACAAAGGCCAGCAAACTCCCCCAAAATAATTCCTAGAGCAGAGGTTTTAGAAAAAACATCCAATCTTGAGTTCAGAATTGTCAGTCATGGAGAATCCACCACGACCCTAGGTAAGTTGTTCCAATACTTAATTACTTGCACTGTTAAGAAGGAACATTTCGACTTTGACAAATTGCAAGTTGCAGATGGAAAAATGTTGCATAGAATCATAGGACTGGAGGGACTTCAAGAGGTCATCCAGTCCAGTCCCCTGCATTCAAGGCAGGACTAAGTCTTATCTAGAGCATCCCTGACAGGTGTTTGTCCAACCTGCTCTTAAAAATCCCCAATGATGGAGATTCCACAACCTCCCTAGACAATTTATTCCAGTGCTTAACCACTCTGACAATTAGGAAGTTTTTCCTAATGTCCAACCTAAACTGCCCTTGCTGCAATTTAAGCCCATTGCTTCATGTTCTATCCTCAGAGGTTAAGAAGAACAAATTTTCTCCCTTCTCCTTGTAACAACCTTTTATGTACTTGAAAATTATCATGTCCCCTCTCAGTCTTCTCTTCTCCAGACTAAACAAACCCACTTTTTTCAATCTTCCCTCATAGGTCATGTTTTCTAGACCTTTAATCATTTTTGTCACTCTTCTCTGGACTTTCTCCAGTTTATCCACATCTTTCCTGAAATGTGGTGCCCAAAACTGGACACAATACTCCAGTTGAGGCCTAATCAGCGCAGAGTAGAGCGAAAGAATTACTTCTCGTGTCTTGCTTACAATACTCCTGCTAATACATCCCAGAATAATGTTTGCTTTTTTTGCAACAGCGTTACACCGTTGACTCATATTTAGCTGATTTTTTGGCCCCAAACTGACAAAATCTGAATATTTAAATCACATATTTTCAGTCAAAAACTACCAAAAGTTGAATATTTTTGGCTGAAAACTGCATATTTTTGGCCAAAACAGAGATTTTTTTTAGCCAAAACTGATGAAACCAAAACAGTTTCACTTTTTCACTGAAATAAAATCACTTTTTGGCCTTTAGTAGGAAATATGATTTTTAAAAATGAAAACGGATCCTTTCCATGAACATTTTTATGTCATGTCAAAACCCCAATGTTCCTCTTGAAAAAAAACATTTTGATAGAAAATTTCTCCTGGCTGTTATTCCCAGCGGCAAAGGAAAATCCCGACCAAATTCCCAACCCCTGCACAGCCAGAAGAGGGCGCAATCTCAGGTCTGCCCTGAGATTCCGCACCCAGTATGCCATAGACCTTAGTGATGCATGAACAAATAGCCCATCTGGAGACCCTGCCCCAGGTGCCTCCTAGTGGCAGGGAGAAGTGCCCCTCATAACCCACATGCCTGAGCCAAATCCTTTCTCCAGCTTCTCTTAGACCCCTGGCCTCTGAACCAGTCGCCCTTCTGCCCATTTTAGTGGCTAACCCCTCTGGTTAATTGCACCATCTTCATTGTACATTACACACCTTCCCCGCATCTGAGCCAGAGTCTGCTACAGCTGCAAACTGGACCAGCTGGGTTCCTTAGCTCCAGGGGCAGAAGCTGGTGCTTTGGGCTCTGGTGTTTGCCAGGTCAATCCCCTCCAGCAGTTGGATCGGCCACCCTGCTATGTTCTCAAAGTCTCTGCGGTGAGGGATTCTGTGGCGGAGGGGTAGGAAGGTAGGTAGGTTTGCTCCTCCCCTCTCATTAGTCATGCTGATTTTGCTCCAACAGGTGGAACCGAAGCCTGGGGACCTGATTGAGATTTCCCGCTTCGGATACCGGCACTGGGCCCTCTACGTGGGCTACGGATATGTCATCCACTTAGCTCCCCCCAGTAAGCACCCTGCCTGGCTCTGCCAATGTGTGTGTGCTGATGTAAGGCTATGCCTGGGGCCAGATTGTCGGTATTGGGGATCGAGCCTGGGACCTCTGGGTCTAAGATCATTAAGCCTTCAGGGCTTGAGCTCATATAGATGGTTTATTGCTTTAATATCCTTTCTTGTATGTTACACTTCATTCCCACTGTTAAGACTAAACACTACTTTGGTGTAAGGCAGTGTCTGGTCACTGCACACACCACAGGTCACAGGTTCCCAAAGGGAAGAACTGCAGGTGCCAATCCCAGTTGGACCTGCAGAGTAGGCAGGGCTGATCAACAGGATGCCATAGCCCAGGGCTCTGCTTAAGAGTAGGAGAATCATATGATTCCACTCCCAGAGAGGTAAAGGCACAAGGCCTGACACCTGAAAGGGTGCACTGGGGACAAAGGTGCAGCCAGCCCTGTAGCTGGGACATGTGCCCTGCTTGGCTTGGTCTAAGACACATCCCAAGTGATGGAGACTCCAGGGAGGGATGGAAATCCCAAAGTCAATCCAGATCTGTTAGCACATGGTCCATGTGTCTGTCCCGGATCCCCAGGTGAGTTCACCAAAACTGGATTCTCCAGCCTGATGTCCGTGGTGGCTGATAAAGCCGTGGTGAGAAAGGAACCCCTCTGGGCAGTGGTGAAAGGCGATGACTACCGGGTCAACAACAAGCACGATGGGAAGCTGCCCCGTCGGAGTGTGGACCAGATTATCCAGGAAGCAGAGTCTCTGGTGGGGAAGACGATGCCATACAGTGTCACCAGTGAGAATTGCGAGCACTTCGTCACCAAGCTGCGCTACGGTGTGGCTAGGAGTGACCAGGTGGGGGCGGAGTGGGCCCTGCTGTATGTGTGTGTATGTGTGTACACACACATGCCATATGAGGCCCTGCTATGTGTGCACATGTAACCCACACACCTCTGTCCAATCTAGTGGTACTGAGCCCATTTAGAGATTAATGAGTCTGCTCTACAGCCTTAGCTAAGGGCCAGTTGGATTTTAGTTCATGCAGTAGAGGCTCATGCACTAAGATCCAGAGGTCCTAGGTTCAATCCCACCGACCGGGGGTCTGTCGGTGTTACACACAGACCCCATCCGAGATAGGGGTCCTGTTGTGCTGGGCTTTGCACAGACACACAGCGAGAGACAGTCCCTGCCCTGATGAGTTTACAATCCAGCTAGACAAAGGATGGGAAGGGAGGCCCAGAGCAGGGAAGGGACTTGCCCAGGGCCAGGAGTAGAGCCCGGAATAGAACAAAGGGGACCAGAGACTCAGTACAACTCCTGAACCACAGTTACGCTGCCTCCAGTGAACTGTGGAGGCCGGATGCTCTAAAATGGACTTTAACTCAGCACGGTTCTTGTGCCATTTACTGCTGCGTTTAAACCCCCCTGGGCTATCCAGGGCCTCCTGACCAGGTCTCTTCTGTGCTTTGCAGGTCCGAGATGCCATGGTTGCAGGGGCGGTGGGGATCGTGGGCGTAGGAGCCCTTGTGGCAGTTGCTACATTCATTGGCGCATTGCTCTCTGACAACAAGCAGGAGGATGAATAATGCAAACGTTGGCCTGGGTCAAAGACCCGAGCAAGATCCATGGGAGATGATCTCTACTGGAGCTGGCTTAGCTTCTCACCTGCTTTCTCCTTTGGGATCACTGCCCTTGGGAGTTTGTTCTAATGGTTAATCACTTGCACTGTGAAACATTGGTGCCTTATTTCTAATTGGAATGTGTCTGGCTTTAACTTCCAGCCATTAGGTCTTGTCCTGCCTTTCTCTGCTAGGTTAAAGAGCTGAGATTTTCTCCCCATGAAGATACTTATACAAAGTAATCAAGTCACCTCTCAACTGAAGCTAAACGATTGAACTCTTTAAAGCTCTCACAGGCATTTTTTCCAGCCCTCAAATAATTTTTGTGGCTCTTCTCTGCACCCTCTCCAATTTAGCAACATGAATGTTAAAGCAACTAGTGGTTTTGGACATCTGGGACATTCTTGGTGAGTGTGTGTATAAATCTAGCCAGAGAGATTCTGCGGGCAGATCTACAAGCTTGCATCAGCATTAACAGATTGCCTGGGTCATGCTGAACCACATGTTGTTAAGGAAATAAAAGCATTGCTCACATGCCTGACACTTGGGTACGACCGCTCTCTGAAGGCGTTAGACACAGGCGTGTTTAACAAACACTCCCGAGAAGCCCCAGATCAATAATATTGTCTTGTGATATTTGTTGCTTTTCTTCAAGCCCCAGCTCCTGGAGTCATGAGAGTATGAGGCAATCTCAGCTTTCAAAAGGTTTCTAGCCCTCCTTTGTGCAGAGAAGGGCTTGATCCATGAACACCATGACACCAGATGGCAAACACAAAGAACCCCAATAGTTGTACTTGTTAAAAAGAATTCACACATCTCTTGATCTTGGGTGTGGAGAGCTGACTCCATGGTTTTGAATGGGATGATTTGGGGCTGGCAATGCTAGAACTCCCATCAGCATAATTACTGCAAACTCCAGTTAGTTCCCTGATTGCTCAGCCAGGGCCATTCCTGTGCATGCTCTTGAGCTCTGTCTTACTGAAAGGGAGACCCCAGCAGGGGCACCAATCAAGCAAATTATTTCATAGAATATCAGGGTTGGAAGGGATCTCAGGAGGTCATCTAGTCTAACCTCCTGCTCAAAGCAGGACCAATCCCCAGGCAGATTTTTGCTTCAGTTCCCTAAATGGCCCCCTGAAGGATTGAACTCACAACCCTAGGTTTAGCAGGCCAATGCTCAAACCACTGAGCTATCCCTCCCCCCAACTGAGCTATCCCTCAGCATCCAAGAAGTACCGTTAACTAGCTGGGCATGGATCAGACCCACTGCCCTAGCAAAGGAATACCCCATAGCCCATTTCCCAACCCACTGAGCCAGCCAGTCCCCGCACCCTCGGACTGGATTGGAGCTGCCACCCCTGAGAAAGGAAAGACCCTGTATCCCATTCCCCAAATCCCTGAGCCAACCGGTCCACCCAACTTCAGGCTGGATTGGAGCTGGCACCCCCTAGAGAAGAAAGGGCCCAGATCCCATTCTCTACCCCCCTGAGCTAGCCAGTTCCCCACCCTGGGGCCAGATTGGACCCAGCACCCACTAGCATTTGACCCACTCACAGCCTGAGCCACTCTGAAACCGGAACCCGCATCATGTAAGGTTAGTATCTCACTTTCAGTTCCCTTCGTTGGTTCGTCCCTGAAACCATGTGGCTTTTTAGAATCTGAGCAGCAAATGTCAATTGGCCGAGTCATCAGATACAGAAGGAAACTACATTCCAGACCCTGGTCCCTGGTGAGGCAGGCAGCCAGTCTCCCAGCCTCACGCTGGACTGGAGCTGGTGCACCCTAGAGGGGAAAGGCCCTGTCCTCCATTCCCTGCCCCCCCCAAGCCAGCCAAGCCCCTTGATGAGGCAGGTTTGGAGCTGGTGCCCCTGTCACAGATCCAGTGGCGTTCCCCTCCCTGGCCACTCGCCAGGCTGCCCTGGGGGGAATCCCAGCCTCTGGATCCCTGGGTATTTTAATCTTCCCTGGGTCTCAGCAGGCTGCTGCTGTGTTTCCTCCCTTGGCCTCTGTGGCACATTGCCTGGGCCCCAACCCTCAGTCCGACACCCCTTCACAGAAACAGAGCCCCTCAGCTCACCTGCCTTAGGCCCCCGCCTCCAGTGCTGACCCCAAGACACCCCAATTACTTAATCACACCTCTCCCAGACTCCCACCGAAGGTGTGCGCCTTCCAGCTCCCCACGAACTCCCTCAGGGGCACATGGTAGGTGTAGCACATAACACAGACACTCTGCACACAGTTGAGGGTGAGGCCCTCAACTACTAGAAGAGGGCTTCACCCTCCCTGATTGAACTAACCTCGTTATCTCCAGACTGATTCTTGCCTGCATATTTATACCTGCCTCTGGAAATTTCCATTACATGCGTCTGACGTAGTGGGTATTCACCCACGAAAGCCTATGCTCCAATACATCTGTTAGTCTATAAGGTGCCACAGGACTCTTTGTTGCACTCTGCACACAGTTCTGCGACACTGTTGCTCCTTCCTTATGCACACGAGAGAGACACAGATCCACACAAAAATAATAACCCCGCCACGCATGTCCCGTCCCTTGGGAGGGCGGGGGCCACCTGCGCTCAGGTAGGCATGGTCCCCCTGCCTCAGCCGGCTCTGCAGAGCTTCCCTCCCCTTAAACCTGTGAAAAATCAATGGGTAAAGAGCAAACAGTGCAGCTCCTGCTCTTTATAATCTTCCAGTCTCTGGTCAGGTGACTTCTGGGAAGCTCAACGGGGACTCCCTTGCCAAGTGACCTCTCCCCTGACAACCAGTTCATTGTTTAGAGCGCTTCCTTTCTGAAAGCGGAGGGTCCAGTTTTAATGACCCTCCATTGTTAGGTCTTCCCCAGCCCCACCCTCCTTGGAATTTTGGTCCATCCTGGAGGTGAAAGGCCAGCAAGGAAGGCAAAGGGGCTGTACCTTCCCCATGGAGTTTGCCACTTGGGAAAGCTACGTGCAGAGAGCTCAGAATCTCACCCAGGATCCCTCAGCCGTACAGACAGATTCCTGAAATTATCACAGCATGGCACAGACACTCAATGTAGATGCAAGTGGAGGATTGGTCCCGCTATTGTGGGCAACTTTCCTGGCTTATACACTCCCCCGGTGAAATGGGCTAGCGAAAGGATCTGAGTCCTCGCTTCCGCTCCCCCAGAGGCCTGCCTGACCTCGAGGGCTCCCTGTGTGGCAGTGTCCTTGTAACCCTGGCAAGGCTGGGCCCAGAATTCCTGGGGGCTCGACCCCCAACCTTGTTGTGGTCACTTAAAGCAGGGTCTAGGGTGTCCCCACTCCGGGGTGCTCTCTCTCCACTGGACTCTTCCCTGACCCACTGATCATTACATACAGTTCAAAGCTAATACAATTTAGTAAACAGCAACCAATGTAAAAAGCAAGGGAAAAATGGGAAAGGTGAAAGGAAAACCCATCCCCCAGCCCTGTGGCACGGGGACACCACAACCAGCCGTCTCTGGAACATAAGGGCCGTTCTCAGCCTGTCCCTCACCTGTCCCAGGCCCCTGCCCAGGCACTGGCTGTGCTGCAGGGGTGCAGCAGGTCAGACACTTGCTCTGGTGATGGTCACATGGCCTCTGGTGCTAGGTGGCAGAACCCTTCTTCCCCTGTGAATCCCCCCTCCTAGTCCGGCCTGCAAGACCTCCTGGCTGGGGGCATCTCCCTGCACTGGGCCCGCTGCCCAGAGTCCCCCTCGCTCTCCTTAGCTGCTCACCACACCTGGCTCCAGCCCCAGCACTGCTACCACTACACCTGCGTGGCTCTGCTCCGCCCTGCTCTCTCCTTAGCTCGCCCCTCTAGCCAGGCAGCTCCAGCTCACTGGGAGGACAGGACCCCTGACCTCCTGACTCCCTCATTGGACTGCCTGCCTGTCAATCAGGCTGACCTGGAGCATTGGCCTCTCCCCATTGCCCCTGGGGACTGTCAGTCTCAGGATTCCTGATTTCCCATCGACCCTTCCCCTTTCTTTTGGTACTGGGAGCTTGCAAGCCAAAACCCGCCACTAAGTTTTAGTAAGGGGCCAACAGTCCCTTTCCACAGAGGCTGGGGGAGCAGAATGAGCAGACACAATGCATAGCACAGACACATGGAACTGAGATCAGGACCCCCATCGTGCCAACTGCTACACAGATCCCCGCCTGAGGTTGGGGTCCCGTTGTGCTGCTGGGCACTGCACAGACACCAACGAAGACTGGGGTCCCTGTTGGCCAGGCACTGCACAGATGCACAGAGAGGCTGTGTTCTGAGGACCTTACAATCTAAATACACAAGACAGCCAGAGGAAGGATTATTTTTTAACGGGACCACTCAGCACAACAAAAATAAGTTTGCTCGCAGAGCTGCAAGCCAATGTTGACTACATTGTTCACAACAGCATGGGGAGGAAAACGCCCACCCACTCAGACAGGAGGAAGGGAGGGATGGAGCATGGGCTCTAGCGCATAGGACTCTGGGTAACCCAGTTAATATAAGGTTAACTTTACTACAGATTATCCCCATTTTGCCATTGGAGACACAGGCAAGGGGGAGCCTATGATTCTCATAAGGATTCAAAGGCTTTCCAAATTAGAATGCAAGTATTCCAAGACTTTTCAAATGAGGCAACAATTCCAGTGGGATTTGGGGTGGTAACTTCTTGATGCTCCTTTGAACATCCCAGTTTAAGGCCTGCGCGCCTCACAGATGTTGGACCAGCATCACTGTGGCTGTTAGGGGGTGATATTGTTAACAATACTGGTACAACATCTAGTGTGCATGCAGTTAGAACAGTATAAAGGTGCCTCATTCTGGTATAGATTACTGCCCTGCAGGAAGAGGACTAAGGAAGCAGGGAGGCTGTGTGGCCTAGTGGATAGTTTATGGAGGGAATGGTTTAATGGGATAACATGATTTTAGTCAATTAGGTAATAAAGTGCCATCGCTGGTAAAATGTGGGTCTGGCTAGAGAATCTTGCCTGTATGCTCGGGGTTCTACTGATCGCCATATTTGGGGTCGGGAAGGAATTTTCCTCCAGGGTAGATTGGCAGAGGCCCTGGAGGTTTTTCGCCTTCCTCCGCAGCATTGGGCAGGGGTCGCAAGCTGGAGGATTCTCTGCGACTTG